GCAGATCACGGCTGGTGGGAGGGGCAGGTAGGGTGCTGTACATAGCTTCCTGAAAACATCACAGCACCCTGCCTCAGTACTCCTCTCAAGAGCACTCAGCTCTGATGGAAGCAGTGGGTTGGCTCTTGGGAGGAGTTATGCAAATATAAAAATTCCTTAATGAGTAGATGTCAGTTGGGAGGAGTGGGAGTTCCTAGGCAGGCTGCAATTGCATAACACCCATGTGTGATGACAGCAAGGCTAAGGTGGAAAGGGCTAATTGATGCTGGACGTCCTCCAGCCAGGATATAAGGAGGACTCTATCTGACCTGTTGCAGCTTCATGAAAGGCTCTGGAGCTATGGGTGACTATGGATGATGGATATCCCTGAGCATGAGGGAGCCCACCCCTCCTTACAGGTACAGGGGCTCACTGGTCACCCAGCATATAGCACAATGGTAGCTAAGGTGTCCAGTGCGCCCCCTCACCAATATACAACTTATTACACTTGCTCCATGGCTTGTCATCAGGGGTCCGGCCCCAAAAACTCATAAAAGACAGCTGGACCAGATGATATAACAAAGGAAGATGGCGGTGCACAGAAGTCACAACTGTCTGCAGAGTCAATAGCTAAAGACCTCCAAACTTGGTGTGGCCTTCAGATTAGCACAACAACAGTGCGTAGAGAGCTTCATGGAATGGGTTTCCATGGCCGAGCAGCTGCATGCAAGCCTTACATCACCAAGTGCAATGCAAAGCGTCGAATGTTGTGGTGTAAAGCATGCCGCCACTGGACTCTAGAGCAGTGGAGACGTGTTCTCTGGAGTGACCAATCACGCTTCTCTGTCTGGCAATCCGATGGAACTTTCTGGGTTAGGAGTTGCCAGGAGAACGGTACTTGCCTGACTGCATTGTGCCAAATGTAAAGTTTGGTGGAGGGGGGATTATGGCGTGAGGTTGTTTTTCAGGGGTTGGGCTTGGCCCCCTAGTTCCAGTGAAGGGAACTCTTAAGGTGACACTTTGGACAATTTCATGCTCCCAACTTTGTGGGAAGAGTTTGGGGATGGCCCCTTCCTGTTCTAACATGACTGCACACCAGTACACAAAGCAAGGTCCATAAAGACATGGAGGAGCCAGTTTGGGGTGGAGGAACCTGACTGGCCTGCACAGAGTCCTGACCTCAACCCCATAGAACACTTTTGCGATGAATTAGAGTGGAGACTGTGAGCCAGGCCTCCTCCCCCGACATCAGTGCCTGACCTGACAAATGTGCTTCTGGAAGAATGGTCCAACCTTCCCATAGACACCCTCCTAAATCTTGTGGACGGCCTTCCCAGAAGAGTTGAAGCTGTTGGTGCCTTATTTATTCCAGGTACTTATATAGCGCCATCAATTTACACAGCGCTTTGCGTATATATTGTACATTCCCATCAGTCCCTAACCCTCAAGGGGTGTACAATCTAAGGTCCCTAACTCACATTCATACATACACATACTAGGGCCAATATAGACAGAAGCCAATTAACCTACCAGCATACCTTTGGAGTGTGGGAGGAAACCCACACAAGGAGATCATGCAAACTCCAGGCAGGTGGTGCTGTAGATGGGATTTGAACCAATAACGCCAGTACTGCCAGGCGGAAGTGCTAACCATGTCACCACCAGAGGCAGACTGATAACTCATGGGGGCCCCCTGGCAATTGGGGATCATGGGGCCCCTGTGTCCTTGCCCAAACTCAAAAAAGCCTATGAAAAAGGTACCAGGGGCATCTCATGGGGCCCCCTACTGACCCCGGGCCCTCGGGCAGTGCCCGAGTTTCCAAATGGTCAGTCCGCCCCTGGTCACCACTGTGCTGCCAAATCTGCATTCACTAAGCCCCAGAACCTGTGATATAAATATGTGTTCAGTTTTAAAGGGATGAGGTGGCAACCCTACCAGGGATGTACCTGTTCCTGGCTGGTAGGCCATTAATCAGGTAGTGGACTGAAAACATGTGATGAAGTAGCTGGAAGAACAATGGGTTCAGTTCAAAAAGCTGGCACACCAGGGTGGGGATTATTAAGCTGGCCATACACATCTAGATTTTCAGACGAGAATATTCATACAAAAAGTTGTTCGAAAATTCTTTGCACATTCGATGAATGGACGAATGTCGTTCAAAAATTGTCTTTTGCTTTTAAAATTTGAGTTAAAAATTAATGTCATTTCTGAACAATAACATCATACACTGGCTGAAAATTTGTTTGCTTGAAAAAAGTTTTCAAATTTTACCATCACTGCTGTAGAAAACAAACATCGATTTGACCCCACTAACTATTAACCCCTTCCTGCCCAGTGCCATTAGTACAGTGTCAGTGCTTTTTATTAGCACTGATTACTGTATTGGTGTCACTGGAGATGTCAGTGACACCAAGTCAGTTCCCCCCAGTGTCAGAATGTCCGCCGCAGTCCCACTATAAGTCGCTGTTCGCTCCATTACTAGTAAAAAAAAAAAAAATCCCACTATATATACCACAATTTGTAAACACTATAACTTTCACATAAACCAATTAATATACAATTATTGGGATTTTTTTTTTAGCAAAGACATGGAGAAGAATACATTTTGTCCTAAATGTATGCCGAAATTTTATTTTTTAAATTTTTTTACTGGACATGTTTAATAGCAAAGTGTCACAAATGTTGTTTTTTTCCTCAAAACTGTCGGTCTTTTTTTTATAGCGCAAAAAATAAAAACCGTGCAGGCGATCAAATCCCACCGAAAGAAAGCTCAATTTGTGGGAAAAAAGGATGTAAATTTAATTTGGGTGCAGTGTTGCATGACCACGCAATTTTCAAAGTAACGCAGCGCCATCATGCAAAAAATGGCCTGGTGAGGAAGGGGGGGGTAAATCCTCTGGAGGGCAAGTGGTTAAAAAAATCAAACAAATATTCTTGAAACGAAGATTCTCAAATGAAAATCTATATGTGTATGGCCAGCTTTAGTCTGGCTGAAAAAAGACAAAAGTCCATCCAGTTCAACCAAAAAAAAAAAAAAAAAAAAAGTTATAGATATACAAAAGATATACAAAAAGTTGATCCAGAGGAAGGCAAAAAAACCAGCAAAACATGATCCAATCTGCTCCTGCAGGGAAAAAATTCCTTCCTGATCCCCCGAGAGGCAATCAGATGTTCTATGGATCAGCTTTCCCTATAAATGTTCGGTGCAGGTGCCTATGTATTTTTATTTAGCACCCCAACTGCAATATGTTAGTGGGCAACAAATCGCATGGTACTGCGGTGCATTTTTAAAAATGAGTGCAAACCCTACAGTGGTCCAGTGCATTTTGCAGCCCATTCAAAAGAATGGGCTGTCAAAACGCACCACACAGGAACGCTCGAGGAATCGCACAGGAACGCTCGGGGAATCGCTCAGGAACGCTCGGGGAATCGCACAGGAGCGCTCGGGGAATCGCACAGGAACGCTCGGGGAAACGCACAGGACCGATCCCAGAGTGAAGGGCCCAACCCTCATTTTCAAAGAGATGACCATTATAGGTTTCCAATAATAATTAAAACAAATGACAACCACATGGTTAACAATCTTTATCCCTGTGTTTGAAGTTTGTGGATTGAGCCAAATGCCTTGCATGGGGAGCCAGAACGAATTACATTTTATCTAGTTTGTGTCCAGAAAACACAGAGAATGGATCTCATCCGATATTTGGTCAATGTTTCCTATCACAGCCTCAAAAAAATATTTGTCATCCTATTCTAAACTAAGAATGAGTCAGAGATAAGTGGCTTCTTCTTTGCATATTTATTTCTTTAGCAGACAATCAGTAGAAGTCCCTTGCTCTGGATTCTCTCTGACCTCTGTAGGGTTAATTATTGAAGCCTCCACCCTCTTTATGCAAACAGATTTTTAGTTTCCTTTCCTCTGCCTTGTTCCCAGAATGGCTTCATCTGCTCTAGGAGAGGAGCTGAGCTGCTCCATCTGCCTGAACCTTTATAGGGAGCCGGTGTCACTGAGATGTGGTCACAACTTCTGCCGGGATTGTATTGTGACTGCTCTGGATACACAGAGGGGGTCCGGGGTCTATTCCTGTCCGGAGTGCAGAGAGGAATATACAGAGTGGCCTCTACTAGAGAAGAAAAGAAAGCTGTGTAATGTTGGGGACAACTTCAGATCTACAAAACCAAAGGAGGAGAAATGTGAGATCCTCTGTACGTATTGTGTGGATTCTCCGGTGGGAGCTATCAAGACTTGTCTGCATTGTGAGACTTCCATGTGTGATAAACACCTGACAGCCCACAACAAGACAGTGGACCATGTGCTGATAGAACCCACCTCGTCCTTCAGTAGTAGGAAATGCTCCATCCACAAGGCACTTCTAGAGTATTACTGCTCCAAGCATGCAGTCTGCCTATGTGTGTCCTGCTGTCTGGTGGGGAAACATAAAGGACATGATGTGGAACCTCTAGAAGAGGCTTTGGAAAAGAAAAAGGAGAAACTGCGAAATGTTCTAGAAAAACTGACCACAAAGAGGGAAACAATTGATCAGAAACTACAAAACCTACATGACCACAAGAGAAAAGTGCAAGTGAAAGCAGATGAGGAGAAGAAGAGAGTCATTGCCCTGTTTGAGGATCTCAGGAGACACCTGGAGGTCCAGGAACAGAGAGTTTCTGAGTGAGATATCCAGGCAGGTAGAGGAGGTCTCATTATCACTCACTGCTCTCATCAAACAGTTGGAGATACAAAAGGATGAGTTGCCCCGGGAAAATTGGTCACATTGAGAAGTTGTGTAACATGACCGACCCAATAACTGTCCTCCAGAATCAGAAATCGGATACTGAAGAAGTCCTCCAAGATCAGGAATCAGATACTGAAGAAGTCCTCCAGGATCAGGAATCGGATACTGAAGAAGTCCTCCAAGATCAGGAATCAGACTCAAGTGACCAGAATGTTGAAGACTCTTCTATTCGTGATCTGGATGGTTTTATGATCTCTCTTGTATTACACAGATCTATAACTGATCTTATCACTTTTATGCAAATAAAAACCAACTTTGACATACAGAATACAACAGATCTGCTCTTGGATGAAAAAACTGCCAATGTCTTTATGATTTTATCTGATGACCTGAAAAGAGCATCCTGCTCTGAAACACGAAGGAGTCAACCAAAATTGCCACAGAGATTTACATTCTACAATCAGGTGATGAGTACTGCAAGTATTTCCCATGGGAGACATTACTGGGAAGTAGAGGTTAGTGACTGTGGATTACGGTATGTGGCTGTTTGCTATCCCAGTATGAATAGAGTTGGAAAGGAGTCTAGCATTGTGTTGAATAACAAGTCCTGGAGTTTCTGCATGAACGATAACAAATATTCATGTGTACATGACTCTCGATCACATACGTTAAAGCTCGAGTCTCCTGTGAAGAGAGTGGGAATGTATTTGGATTATGAAGGTGGCCGTCTGTCCTTCTACCAGCTGAGTGACCCCATCAGACACCTCCACACCTTCACCGCCACCTTCACCGAACCCCTCCATGCCGTCTTCTATCTGCATAATGGAGCCTGGGTAAAGCTAGTATCTCCGATGTTTTTTTGTAAAACTATAATTTACAACTTATTTCTTTTTTTTTAAGTTTTTTTTCATTAATAAAAATAAAGAGTGAAATCATTTTGAAAATAGTAATAGCTGGAACAATTAATGGAACGCTAAACTATTTTATCCATTTTGCAGTTCTTTTGCGCAGTTTTTTTGCTTTTTTCTTTGCACATTTTTGATGAGTTTGATGCGTTTTCTACTGCGTTTTTGTTCAACTTTTTTTATTTTTTTTTTCTTAAAGTGGATTTTTTTTTTTTTTTTTTTTTGGTGCTGAGCAGAATAAAAATGCAAAACGTGACAAAACGCACTACCATGCAGTTCAGCAGATTCTCCATTGAACTCTGGTGTAGCTGATTTTCCGCTTTTTAAAAACAATTCCTGACCCTTTCCAAAAAACGCAGCAGCTCAAAAAAGCATCGATGTGAACGTGTTCCATAGGGAACCATGCTAAATGGACTGTTGAGTTTCTGCAAAACGCACTAAAAACCGTATTGGTGTGAACGGAGCCTTATATTCCCTTCTATTAACCCTTATATCTCTTTATATTTTTATATATATATATATATACACACACACACACACAGTGCAAGGCCATGGCGCTGTGTGATTGGGCAGTTTAGGACAGATTTAGGAGGAAACAAGCACATTAATGAGCCAGGTGTGTGCTTGTTTCATATTTGAAGCTGGGATCAAAGCTCAGATCCCCATCCTCCTGAGAGGGTCACCCTAGGT